GCAGATCAGAATGTCCTTATCTTAGCAGCTCGTCCTGTGACCGCCCCCCCTGGGACCCAAAGTCACCTCTGCAGAAAGCTTCTGTTGCACTCCTGACGAATAAACTCCACAGTGCCATCACTGTGGTTCGCTGGTGTCCCAAAGCTTTACAAATGGCTTTTTCCAGACTCATGGATCTCAATTACTTTCTTTCTCATTTGTTCCTGGATTTCTTTGGATCTCGGCATGATGTGTAGCTTTGGAGGATCTTTTGGTCTACTTCACTTTGTCAGTTAAGTCTAAAGCTGGCCATACACCTTACAATTATCTGCAGATTTTCTGTGGTCAGATGGAAAAGGTGCAACAGATTCCTCCACCTACGCTGAACTGTGTGGATGGAGTAATCGCCACCTGGGCCAATCGGTTGCACTTTTTCCATCTGACCACAGAAAATCTGTAGATAATTGTAAGGTGTATGGGCACCTTATTCAAGTGATTTCTTGATTGGGAACAGGTGTGGCATTTGAGCAGGTTCAGTACAGAATTATTGTGATTAACATCCAAATGCAAAATCAACATGTGTTCTGTCTGCTGGGAACATCCGCCCCCAAAGCTGCGCTAAGGAAGATGCCACCTGTCCTATAATCACACTGCATTTACATTCACTTGTCACTGGAACATTAGCTAGACCAGTTTAATCTATTCTATTCCCAGTTATGCTTATGAGAAATCTCCCTTACCTGCAATAGAATGGAGGACACTCATCACTGAGGCAACACATGTGTAACTGACAGGAAGTTCCCCTCAGAAACAAGTAACTACGTTTCTCTTTCCACTTACTGTGCAGCATGTGCTCTGGTAAATGTGTCCTCTCTTTGTAAAAACAGGAGTTTAGCTTAGCGTGTCAATGTGTCCTCACTAAGAGAATCTTAACATGTTATTTTGAATATTATTTTGGGGGTGTCTATGTTTACATTCTTTACACTTCCTCCGCTGTCTGAAGCCGCATTGTGGAATTTCTTCTCATTTCTTATCCAAGGGGGCAACGTTGTCATCCAGACAGGAAGTATGGGAAAGTCTTGCAGCAGGGGGCACAGTCATAAGGATTTGTTGGGGGCTCTAGCCTCTCCCCATTCTTAAAAAAAGTGTTTTTATTGCGATTTGTGTTCCTGTTGGAGAATTCCCTTTGCTTCCTTTCCTGCCAACATATTGTCACCAGGAAAGAGGGTGAGGATTACTCTCTCTCTGTGCAGTATTCCAGTGTGATACTTGGAGCTTCCTGTAATGAAGACCGGTCACTGCTGCTCTCTCTTCTTGTGCAGGGTGACTGGTCTTGTGTCTTCCCCCTCCTGTAGTTTCCTGCAACCAGCCTGTAGTGGGCGGAGCTTCCTGTAATAAAGACCGGTCACTGCTGCTCTCTCTTCTTGTGCAGGGTGGCTGGTCTTGTGTCTGCCCCCTCCTGTAGTTTCCTGCAACCAGCCTGTAGTAGGCGGAGCTTTCTGTAATAAAGACCGATCACTGCTTCTCTCTTCTTGTGCAGGGTGACTGGTCTTGTATCCGCCTACTCCTGTAATAAAGACCAGTCACTGCTGCTCTCTATCCTTGTACTGGGTGACTAGTCACTCACTACAGTAAGGAGGCGGAGACAAGACCAGTCACCCGGCACAAGGAGAGGGAGCAGCAGTGACCGGTCTTTATTACAGGAGGGGGCGGAGACAAGACCAGTCACCCTGCACAAGGAGAGAGAGCAGCAGTGAGCGGTCTTTATTACAGGAGGGGACGGAGACAGGACCAGTCACCCTGCACAAGGAGAGAGAGCAGCAGTGACCGGTCTTTATTACAGGAGGGGACGGAGACAAGACCAGTCACCCTGCACAAGGAGAGAGAGCAGCAGTGAGCGGTCTTTATTACAGGAGGGGACGGAGACAAGACCACTCACCTGCACAAGGAGAGGGAGCAGCAGTGAGCGGTCTTTATAGGAGTGTCACACTGTATTACTGCACAGATCTGGAAGAAATATGCAAAGCTCACCAAGATTCCAGGAATAATACACAGGACTCTTGTATGAGGACAATATTTTCTTCTCTCGGAGTTCAGCTCTAATATTAATCAGTGTATCTGACCCTTGCAATGTAATTGATATTCCAGTCTTTGCCTTAGGGGATGCATCTTCCCATTAAGTAGCCCTACTGAAATAAAGCTGAGGTCACATATGCATTCATGGTATGTATAGGTCAGGGGTAGGCAACTTGGGCACTCCATCTGTGCTGAGACCACAAATCCTATCATGTCTATAGAGTCACACCTGTGGCTGTCAGAGTCTTGCAATGCCTGCTGGGACTTTGTAGTCCCACAAAAGCTGGAAGTTCAAGGTTGCCTACCTTTGCATAGAGCTCCACTGGACACCATTTCTATGGCCTCCTGACCCCAAAAGCAGATAAACAGCTTTGATGCCGCGCAGGCTTAACATGACGACATCATTTGGTGGGAGGTCAGGGAGGTTTTTCATTGTTTCTACATTTTGTTCATAAAAAATTTAAATTCTGTGACCTGAAGACAATGTTACTATGTGCAATCCTCATTATCTGTGAAGGAGTCTGACCCTGGGTCTGTCTATGTACACATCACAAATGATTTGTATTGGAGAGAAGATAGTGTCGGCTTTACCTCATTTCCCATCCTGGAATATAGGCAGCCATCATGGCTTAAAGGGGATCTCCAGCTTACATTTTTGGGGGGCTTTGGGTAGAGTAGGTACAGCCTGCATCCTGTTGGGGAGATTTCCCTTTACGTCCTGTGCTGTAGACACAACAGAAAGTGAAAGAAAATCTTTCCAAAATCAGGGGAAATCTCCTCTTGGATAGTGGTCACCAGAACAAGTGTCCCCATTGGAAGATTCCGTCTCAAGTCTTCTTGATCTTCCCTCTCTTTAAATCCCGGGGATAATCTAAAACGGAAAAATCTACATTTTGGTTGGACATACACTTTAAGATATGAAGGTTTCTGTGTGTTTCAATGGAGCCCTTTCTAATTGCAACCTGCTATGGCAGCCGTAAGTCGGTTTGGTTTTTTATTTTAGTCCCTAGATGAAGCCTCACTGCATGGGTTAATAAACATTTTCCCTGGAGTCTTTCTTTAAGATAAAGAATGTGCATTGGCCGGGGGGGGGGGGGGGAGGGTTCTTTTTGTTCGTGGGTTT